TTTCTAAAGAAGCGCAAGAAGGGCGATGGGATTGATGCCGTGACCAAATCTGAGATTTTGAGTTCAAATAGAAGCTTGGTAGGATTATTTCCTCTAGTTCACTTTTGTTTTTCTCTTTCTGCGCTTTGTGTATTTCCATTTTCTACTGATTCAACTCTATGCTTATGGAACATCCGGATTCTTCCTATTTATTATTCACTGTGATTTTCCTCTCACTTATCTTACATTTAGACATGGGAATTCATAATTTCCTTTTTCAAAGAGAAAAAACCTCCACCTGAACTAGTGAACTTGGTGGTACCTTCAAGGTTGGTGCGCCCTGATTGGGTATTTTTTGTGTTTTGAACCTGCCCTGCCCAACATGTTCCCAAGTGACTCAAAGGGCACGATTCATAGAGGCCCTTTTAAATCTGTTTGTTAGTATATTGCAATATTTAGAAGACACAATTAATGTTTAAATGTTTAGCAGTTCACGCTGTTCCTCACATTACTTCTTCGCTTGCTCACTCATACACACACATCATACAGAAGAATGAATTAGTCATATATACATGTCACACAATATTTGGAAAGACTGCATGAAATGTGTGCCTCTCTAAAATCAGCATTTCGTTCTTCTTTAGTTGTACATATGTGTTCCAGCTGGTTTTTGTTATGATTTTTTATTTCAGATATATTCCTGCACTTCATTTGTTTCCATGTAAAGTTTTGGAGATCATATATTTGACCTTTCATTATGTTTTCACTATGTAGCTGCCAGGATACACTAGCTCCTGCAATATGCATTTCATTATGTATATTCGTCTCTTTGTTTGAATTCCCTGGAGCCAACCATGGAAGTTGTTGGATGTGTGTTAAGCATCACGACATTGTGTCGCTCTCTGCATGAAGTAATTAGAAATAATTATAAACACTTGGGAGCATCCAACAGAAGTATTCAGAAGTTGAATAATTTGATGAAAAAGTTGGATGCTTGTAAAAAAGACGTTGAACATGGATTAAATCAATATTTTCTCAGGATATTACAAAAATATAACGCGTGAATTGTCAATATCTACTGTGATAATTGTTAATCATCACACCTTAAATTATTGACGACTGCACTTTCAGTTATTAATGCATACTATTAAAAAAAGACAAGAACAGTTTGGTAATTAAACAAATAGAATTTATTGCAATGAGGTCTTTTGGGACTTCAGAATAATTTGTTAATTTCAAGAGATATTTTTGTATTTAATTCTTTTGGGTACGATCTTATTGCAATTTTTCTTCTTGTTTTTTTTTCTTTAATTTAATCTTCTTATGGTTCACCAATAGCCCATCATATCAAGTCATCAATTTTTCCGGACAACACCATCAATGTGCACTATTATATAATGGATTAAAGTGAAAAATGGTGGGCAATTGACACTACTACAAAAAAAACAATCATTTTTGTTTGTTGTGGAGGCCTTTTTTCATCTGTTTAAAGGGGATGTTGACACAAGAAATGTAGATAATAGATATATATTTGCTTGTTAAAAATAGATGAATATTTCAACTCAGGAATAGGCGAGTATAATGGCAATATAGACGAGCATGGTGATGCATACTCATTTGTTCTACTGAACAGTGAGTATATTATGTTTTTTTAAAATAAAACAATTTGTTAATTTATATATACCAGTTTTCATTGAACCATACAATTGAAATTAAACCAAAATAGACTACAACAACAGCAGCAATTCAGCAAAGGCAATTCATTCATCATAGTTTCTATACAAATAGCATTCTAATGACATCCTAAACAATAACTTATGGAAATAACATCTTGATTAACTTAGTTAAGCGGGAAAAAAAAACTCCCTAATATAATGATGTAACACAAGTAACTTTAACCTAAACATATCTAAACCTTTCAACCTCATGCATCGTTTTGAAAGAAAAACTCTTGAAAAAATTGTCTTGCCAAGCGATCTTGAACAACATCAATTTTTTTGTTAGTATATGAGACCCATACTTATCTGTTGGCCTAGAATAGACGAATATGGGGCCTCATCTAAGTGAGATCTTCTAACTGCTTGGTAGATCAAATGGCGTAAAAAAAAAAAAAAAAAAAAAAAAAAACCACTGAAATCGGCTTGCGCAAAATAGACCTCAGAACGCACCGTTTTATTGTAAAGGTATTTTCTGGGTTGATCCTAGCCCGAGGGATGCGAAATATCTGCGCTAAGGGATAAGACAAATGAGATAAGGCTTGTGGTCCCAGCTAAACACGCCTTGGAAAATAGTGGACAGCAACAAATTATGAGTAAAGAGATATTCCAATTTTCTTCGTCAACCTTCAAAGCCATTCGAATTGACTTTTCAAAATTTTTAATTTTGTTTATAAAACCACAAAAATTTTAAAAATTAAAATATAAATTAAAGAAGGCTCTAAATATTTTTTAATTTTTCAAATAAAATGAGAAATTAGATATAAATGGAATTATAAAACATGAGAGAAAATTCGAAACATATGAAAAAAAAATAAAAAACTATACAATTATATTACTGGAGTCTTAAAATATACTTTTATCATTAGTAATAAGCTTGTTGGCAAAGACAAAAAAAATCAGTGGCAACAAGCTCCATGCAGTAGGATGTGGCCTGCGGGGAAAGGTCCATTATTTTGGGTGATTCTGTTATTTTCCGCTTTTTATTTTTCTAATTTCTTCTTTTATTGTAATTTAATTAAATTTTTAAACAATAGATCAAATATTTTATAAAATTATTAAAAATTTCCTAATTACAAAATCTATCATCTAAAAGTATAATCTAATTCCTTTTTTTTTTTGGGTAATAAAAAGTTTAGGTGAGGGTCCCGGGTATAATCTAATTCTTTTGAATAAGTGCAACTCATTTTTTACACATGCAACTCATCTTAAATTTTTATTTACGTGCAAATATTGTACGTTTTATACATAATTAAAGATATATTACACATGGTTAAAAGAAGTTGTCTTCATCAAATCCTAAAGTCATTAATTAAATTTCAAGTAACTTTGATAATAAAATTTGCAACCAAGAGATTTCTCAGCAATTTTTTTCAAATTAGTATTATAATTTTACTTAAATAAATTAAATGATCAAAATTTCATTTGAACAATTTAAAACTAAAATAAAATATCATCATTAATTTTAATAACATTTTACAGTTTATATTGATCAAATTATGATAGTATAAATTTGTTTATATAAAATAATAATAAATTTATGAAATATTAAACATCTGAAATTATAAAATGATAGCAAAAGGAAACGAAAACGAAACCGGTGGAAAATATGAGAGGATAGTGTCCCGAAATTACCTCTTCCTCTTTTTAAGAAAGGATAAATATTATTAAAACTAAAAAAAATAGTTTATAATAGAAAGTGAGTTAGAGAACAGTCAGAATACGTAAATTAGAAAAATAAAGAAAATGACATAAAAAAATTTAAAATTATAATACTATAATACAGGCATTCAAGAGGTCAAAATCCCATAAAATAAAATAATGTTTGATCCCGTAGTTGCAAATGTCATTAAAAGACAAAAATATAATTGTATCAAAAGGTTAATTAACAAATTCTAAATTGAAAATAACAAGTATTGAATAATAAATAATAAGAAATATACGAGTAATAATAAGTTATTTACTAATAAGTTGTGAACTATTAATGATAAGTGTTGAATAACCAATAAAAATAAATATACAAGCAATGATAAGTTTGATATCTTTTTTAAACAAAATTTGATACGATAATATTTTAATCATTTAACTATATCTGGAAAATACCATATCAACAAACTTTCTTTCCTGATATTTTGACCTTTTAAATATTATAATTTTGAACTTCTTTTTGTTTTTTCAAATACACAAATTCTTTTCTCTTTTCTCTTGTTTCTTTACATTTCCTCCTTCTTTTCCGACTTTCTCTCCATCAATACGGATGGAAGAGAAGGATAGAAACATAACACAGAATCGATTTGAAGAACGGCAGAGGATACACGGAAGATTTCAAAAGAGGCAGGGGAAGCGGCGCTGCACTGCCATGCTTGGAAAAAATCTGATTTTTTGTGTTGAAATTGAAGCTTGGTAGGATTTTTTCCTTTTCTCCCCCTTTATTGTTCTCTTTTTTCTACGGATTCAACTATATTCTTATGCAACACTAGGATTCAGCTTTTTTTTTTTTTTTGTGTTTTTAATGAGCCCTGTTCAACCTGGTCCGAAGTGACTGGATAGGCCCCGTTGATAAACATTCCCTTAAATTTTCCTGTCAGTAGATTGCAATACTTTGAAGATTCAACTGAAATAACGTTTGACCGTTTGATAGTTCACACTGTTCTTGACATTAGTCTTTCACTTGCTTGCTCATACGCATATCACACAGAAGCATGATTTAGTCATATCACACAATATACTAGGAAAGATTGCATGAAATGTATGTCTCACTAAAACCATCATTTTGCTACCATTTCAGTTGTACATGTATGTGCTCCAGCTGGTTTTTGTTTATGATTTTCTATATGGGATACCGTTGTTCAGATATATTCTCTCTCTTCATGTTGTTCCATGCATAGTTTCAAAGATCATATATTTGACGTTCCATTATGGTTTTAATATTTAGCTGATAGGATACACTAGCTACAGCAATATACATTTCGGTATTTACATTCCTCTGTTTGAATTCCCTGGAGCCAACCATGGAAGTTGTTGCAAGTGTATCAAGCATCATAGGCTTGTGTTGCTCTCTGCATGAAGTATTTAGAAACAGTTGTAAACACTTGATTACACCCAGGAGGAGGATTCGGCTGCGTAATTTGATGCGCCAATTGGATGCTCGTAAAAAGGATGTTGAATATCAAATAAATCAGTTGTGGCATCTAAAAGGGGCAGAGCCAACAAATGAATGCAATTTATGGTTTGAGTGAGTTGATCAGGCAATAAGAGAAGTTGTTAGTCTCATAACTGAAAATGGCCTGCATAGACCAACTATAGGGTGTTGTTGCATTTTCTCAAGAATCAAGCGAGGGCAACTCAGAGGAGAAGATCATTGATATTAATGAACTTCTAGAAACTGTTCCACGTGAAGAGTATTCCATTCCTATTCCTATAAACAAGAGAGGTGATGTTTTGTCTGCAACATCAATGATTGAATACGAAACACATAAACAAATCTTTATGAAGATTTGGGGATTTCTACTTGATGAGAATGCCAGAAGGATTGGTGTTTGGGGGATGGGAGGAGTAGGTAAAACAACTATCATGTCAGAGATTAACAATTGCCTAGTGAAAGGAAGTAGTCAATTTAATTGCACTCTTTGGGTGGAAGCGTCAAAAGATCTAAAGAAGATGCAACAAGATATTGCTGTGAAGTTGGGTTTGACTTTTCAAGAAACTGATGACGAATGAGCAAGAGCTTCAAAACTGTTAGAAGCTTTTAAGAGGAGGAAGGCATTTGCACTTATACTAGATGATGTTTGGGAACCATTCTGTATCAAAGAAGTAGGAATTCCTGTGCCAACGATAGAGAATGGCTGTAAATTAGTGATAATAACTCGAAGCCTTATGGTGTGCAGAGTGATGGAAATAGACAAGGATGTCGAAGTTAAAGTTCTTGAAGATGATGAAGCGTGGAATCTCTTTAAGGACAAAGTTGGGGAGGAACTTGTGCTATCAGATCCAGATTTGCAATCAATTGCCATGGAAGTGGCCAAAGAATGTGGTGGTTTGCCCCTAGCTATCATTGCAATTGGACGTGCATTGAGGAACACAACTAGTATAAGAGAGTGGCAGAATGCATTAGAAGAGTTAAGAACCTCAAGTGATGGTATATACAACATTGATGAAGCAGTATGCTCTCGTTTGAAGTTGAGCTATTCAAAACTAAAGGATGATACAAGGCAATCTTGCTTTCTATTTTGTGCTTTATACCCAAAAGGTCATCTAATTGATGAGAACGAATTGATTAATTATTGGGTGTGGGAAGATTTATTGGGTGATGTGAACATGTCTGCGACAAAACAAAAGGGGCAGATGATTATAGATGAATTAATATCCGCTTGCTTGTCGGAATTAAAAATTGAGAATGGGGTGAGATGTGTCAAATTGCATGATTTGATAAAGAGATATGGCTGTTACAATCATGAGTAAAAATTCTAGATGCATTGTGAATGCTGGCATGGGACAAGTTAGACCACCACTGCCTCACGAATGGAAAGAAGATGTTCAATGGGTATCATTAATGAGAAATGATGTGAAATCTATTGACTTCAATCCAATGTGTCCTGGACTCACTTCTTTGCTGCTTCAATATAACTCATTTGAAAAAAATATATTGGATCACTTCTTTGACAACATGGAAGGGTTAAAAGTTCTTGATCTCTCCTACACTGGGATTAGTGCTCTGCCTATGTCTCTTTCGAATTTGAAGAATCTATGTGCCTTGATATTAAGCCACTGTTGGAATCTTATTCAAGTTCCATCTTTAGCAAGGCTCACTGTATTGAAATATTTAGATTTTTCATTTTCTAGACGTTTAACAGAACTTCCACAAGGGATGGAACAATTGACCAATTTGAGACACCTGGATTTCTCCTTCACATCCGTTCAAAACTTAGGAGCTGGGGTCGTATCGAGATTTAATCTTCTGGAGGATTTGTTGACTCTGGGTTCGCCTATGATTGGGGTATCATCTAAGGGTACAAAAGATTGTTCTTATCCAATTAGAGTTGAAGAAATCATATCTTGTCATACGTTGTCTCTTGTACACATGCAACTACTTAGCATGCGAGCTTATAAAACAATTGTCAGATGTCTCGAGTTTTCTCAATTAAAGGAGTTCAAGCTTGTCATTGGGTTTCGATTTCATGTTCCAGAATTATTTGAGAAAACTAGTCTAGCAATAGATATGAGAAATGCAGCAGAGAACGTTTCAGAAGCAGAGATTATTGAATTAATTCCAACAAATGTTACGGAGTTAGTAATTCATAATTCTCTTGATATGATCAAACGCTTATCTTTGCATTTCTTGAATGCAATGTGCTTGAAAACTTGCGATATAAGAAGGTGTTCCAAGATAACATGCATTCTGGAATCTGAGGAGAACAATTTTCCGCTGCTAGAGAGAATGAATCTATCTAATTTGCCAAAATTGAGAATGATTTGTGGGAAAGTTGTGAAACCAGGTACTCTGATGAACCTAAAGAGTATTAATTTGGAAGGATGTTCATCATTGAAATGTCTGTTCTCAATACAGCTCATTTTCCAACTTAAAAGTCTTGAAGAAATTACCATCTTTAGGTGCCATGCAATGGAAGAAATTATTGAAGGAGAGAGCAATACAAACGGTGAAGACAGCAGCCTTGCAGATGCAGCCAAAGTGATCCTTCCAAAATTGCAAAGGTTGAAATTGCTCGTTTTACCAAACCTAAAAAGCATATACAAAGGGGACATTCAATGTGATTCTCTACGCACCATTGAAGTTTGTGACTGCATTTCTCTAAATAAATTGCCTCTTGGTCTGTTTGGAATAGAGGCGGGTCAGCATATGTCACCGTCAACTGCTCTCGAACAAATAACATGTCAAAAACAATGGTGGGAATCACTACAGTGGGACCAACCCCAAGCTAAGCATCTCCTCCAACCATACTTTGTCGATCATCATCGTAGGTATGCTTCAAAATGTTCTTCAAATTACGCTAATGAGGTGAACGACATATTAAGAACTAATGATTGTAAATATGGCTAGAGTAATTTTTAATTTTTAATCTTTTCTATCCTCTTCGTTTAATTTGATTACATTATTCAATTTCTCATAGTATTGTGGTATGGAGACATGCAGGGCATATTCGCTCCGAGCAGCAGTGGTACAGCGTGAAGACAGTATTTGAATGGAGCCACAATCACTTGATTTGATTCAAGGAGTACTCTTTATTGTTAAGGTTCAAGTTTGTGTAACGTTTGATATTTGGTAAGAAAACGTTGTTTCTTCTTGTCTAGCCTATGGGAAGGTGTTCCTAGGTTGATGTCCTGGTCTACTTGTTCTCAGGCTATGGCTTGCCTTTGTACCTCAAAAAAAGGAAACCTTGTTTCTGCCTGAAATAATTAGAGTGCTGTGTTGTTTCTTCTAAATTTATGGAGAGACTAGGTGGATTTTAAAGTTATTTTCATGTCTTTTTAAGACTTATTGTTAAGGTATGCCTTTAAGAATGATTGGGCTTCTTTGTCAGGCATAGTGAGAAACAGAGCATCACAGAGTATTCAAACAGCTTTGACCTATCATATCATGACCTATGGATGCTTTGGACTATAATGCTTTCTTGCTTATAATTTTTCACCTTTTCTTCTTCGAACCATATTAAGCAATGAAAAGAAAGAACGGTTGAGCTCACCAAAACTTGCATACGTTCTCCACACTACTAGGAGAGGCAACAGAATCTAGGACTATGCTCTCCCAAAAACATCTAGGCGCCATTTGTTTACTACTACCGGAAAAAGTTGATTTTGATAAGGCTGCATACGCAAGTTGTTAGGAGAATTTTAAGCTAAACATGAGGAATTGTCAAGAGAAAATTCATTTTCAACTTATTATGATGTGCGAATGAAAATCACTTATTAAATAGACTTGTTCATGAAGTCATTTAGCTGGCAAATGTGGCTCGCCACTGCTGCCATCTTCTTATACCCAATGCTTGCCATAAATGAGTTACTACTAATCAATATTTGATAATAGGTTACAAAAAAAAGATTATTTGATTACTTCTTCATGTAGCATATACATCTATATAACTTAAATATCTAGAGCATACATTCCGCTGTCATGTTTCTCTATTCCATCCTTCATCTTCTCCCCAGCCGAATGGGAAATCAACCTCCACAGAGTCACAACTGGTAATCGCACCTCCATTCTCACAGCTGGGGAGCCATTGTACAGATGATTTTCACAAGGACGGAAAATTTGAGTTTCAAAATTTGAATATGGCCTCAGCCTTTTTTTATCCGTTCTCTTTCTTATTTCTTGTCTGCCTTTCTTTCTTTTCCTCCCGAGATTCCTCTCTCTGTTCATGTCTTTGTTGAACTTGCTGTCTCTAATGGGTTTTCGCCGATCTATCCTAAGTTTAAAGATGGGATTTCTCTTCACCTTCTTCCACCCTTCTTCATCTTCTATTCTTCTTTTGTTGGATTTTACTCCGTCTGAGTTTGAGAAGAATCCAAAGAAGAGAGCACTAGTGATTTTACTCCATTTCTTTCAATGATTTATTTGCCAAACTCCCACATGTTTATTTAATTAAAGTTTGAGCCTCCACTGATTTGTTGAAGAAAAGACAGCGAACCAGTGAAGAAGATGAAGGAAGCTGATGGTGAAGTTGGGGTGAACGATGAACGTGGTCAATGATGGTTGTAAAGGTTGTGGAGGAGGTATAGAGGCTGAAATCGCAGTTTGATTCTTAGTTAACGAGACCTAATACATGACAGGAATTGTTGAGCACTGATTTCGATGATTTACTGATAAGATAAATAATTAGTAGTCACAATTTTCCTGTCTAACACCCAAGGGTGTATTAGTATAATTGCATGTTTGTAATGAATGTTGTTGATGGTTGTTGTGACAAAAGTAATTGATTCAACCTGAACATCGTAATACAAAGAAACTATTGGTTTGAGAGGAATAAATTTATTGATTATGTTGTCATATTTTGATTCACACAGATGAGTTTTAACTTTTGAAGATCACTGAATTCATTTGTAACTGATGTAGGTCTCACTCCAAAAAAAAAAAAAAAAGAAGAAGGAAAGGAAAAGAAAGGAAAGAAAGAAACTGATATAACAAGTCTACAGGCAAAACTGCATTTTCATATTCCATGATTGTTTTTTTATTATGCACTGAGTACATTAAGACATAATTCTATCTAAATTAAAAGTGTTTTTGCATGTATGGTACGAAAGTTTGAGGAATGATTCATACTATTTATAACTTGTTAATAGAGACTTACTGTTTGAAGCTTTTTAATACTCTAAGAATGAGATTGAAACAAAATAAGGTTATTGAGGAGTTTTAACTTCTTCCCATGACTTGCTTAACTTGCTATTCAGGTTCATTCTATATATATGTATGTTCAGTATTAATGATTTTTGACTTTCTTATTACACTAAGTCTCTAACCCATTTGATACGTATAACTAAGCATGTATTCCAAAGAGGCTCTCCATTGGTTAAAGACTTCTCTGAAGGTATTTTAAGATTAGCCGAGAATGGAATTTTAAAGAGTTTGGAAGACAAATGGTTGACCCTTCAAATAACTGCTCAAGCGGCTCAACGTCGTCTTCTGAAACTGAAAGCCTAACCCTAGCCGACTTTTGGATTCTCTATGTGATAAGTGGTCTGACTTCCACCATCTTCTTGATCGTTGCTCTGTTGAGGACTTACCTTCGTCAACAGAAAGAAGGTGATCAAGAAGAAGACGACCACGACGACAGCAAAAAGGGTAATAATGAAGTTTTCGATAATAATGGTTTTTGGAACCAGGCACTAGTGAGACTCACTTCAGGGCTTTACAACAATGGCAGTTTCAATTTCAACACTACAGGAAGAGCTGGAACGTTTGGTGGAACAGAAACTGTGCGCCATTGGAATTCTTCAAGGTGTGAGAGTGTAAGAACTTCTGATGATCATGTTAATCCTCGACGGACACAATCATTTGGCTTAGAAATGTTGTAGCTACCTAGCTAGCATAGATACTTGTAGAAATATATATCAATTATGGAAGATGTTTTTGTCTCTTAGCTTGTATACCTGTGTGTAATCTCAGCTTTTATGCAGACCCAGTCGGTAATTATTCATTGAATTCACATTCTTTGTCATGTTAATAGAGAAGTGGATACGCTTTTCTGTACATTGCATGGAGTGTGAGTGATTACATTCATCTATGTATATATATGT